AATTTGTACACCATAACGTTTATGTGGCTTAATTGTGTGAGCACAAGTGTATGTATGTATAATATATACATATACTTTATCCATTAAATATTAATATCCTTTTTAAACAGACAAAAAATTTTAACAAATACATTGGTAATTATTACCACAGTCCGCAAGTAAATTTTGGGTTTTTATAAACTTCGTGTACCTAAATAAAATATATAGTGCTACACCATAGAGTTACACTTTAGCTTCTTATGATATTATACAAACTATAAGAAAGGAAAAAAATACTTTAAAGCCTTATATAAGATTATGTTTAGGAACCATAATTACATAAACATAGTCATTAAAAAAAAAAAACAAATAGCGTCACGATATCCAACCGCGGGTCTAACCTAACTTTCCGAACCAAAGTTCATTTTTTTCTAAGTCTCATTTTATAAACACACCTTCTACGGGTAGTCTGGTATGTAAGTACATATATTTGTCAATATTCAATAGAATAACAGAGAGATCAGTGGTACAATCATTACCATAGTCCGAACAAATTATGTGTTTTTAGAAACCTCGCTTACTTGAAAAATATTACTTCTTTAAATCATTTTTTTTTTTATAATTAGGGCGGGAATAACCTTTCGAATAATGGATTTTTACCTGATTTCAAACAACTGTCAGCGCTTGAGTGAAAATTTAATAAAATATGTATATCCAGATATGTTTGTTATAATGTATGTATTTAATAAAATGTGAGTTAAGTAACTCAGAAGAAGTAATTCAGAAGCGGAAATATGCTGAGAGAAAGATTTTATTGCAAAAGCGCACAACAAAATGCCAAGGAATCGGAAAATTATGCATTTTCTTACTGCTTATCTGGTCGGCTATTTGGCAATTTGGATATATCCTTTTGATAGGACTGAATTAACATTGAACAAATCATCAATATTAATAACTAGTATTTCTATGAAGTGGTTAAGACATGTAGTCCCAATATAATTAAAACAACTTTGTTCAACATGATGAGAGAAAATAGGTAATAACTTTCAATATAGTATAGTTTAGGTTGATATGTCACCGGTTGATAACTTTATTTGTGAACATTATATAATTTTAGCCGTCAGAAACTATAAAATTTAGAATAGTTTGGGTTTATAAATTAACTGATAGTAATGGTACCATCTTCTACAAGAGTGTACAGCTGCTGGCGTATGCCGATGATATTGATATCATCGGCCTCAACACCCGCGCCGTAAGTTCTGCTYTCTCCAGACTGGAGTCTGGCAGTGAACGAGGGCAAGGCAAAATATCTAATGGCATCAAACAAACAGTCGTCGCACTCGATGATAATTTCGTCTATCTTGGAACCAGCWTAAAAAGCAACAACAATGTCAGCCTGGAAATCCAACGCAGGATAACTCTTGCCAACAGGTGCTACTTCGGACTGAGTAGGCAATTGAGAGCAAAGTCCTCTCTCGACGAACAAAAACCAAACTCTTTTAGACACTAATAATTCCACGCTTTTCACACGCTTGGCGCCACGTAACGAAAAGAAGAAACGACTGSCGCGCGGTTGTTAACTCGGCTATAATCGCGTAAGCGATGTCTACGCCAATAAAGAAGAGAAGAAGAATGGTCAAAATAACATACATAACTCAATTTTTATAGGATATTTACGACCAAATTTCAATTATGTATAAGAACTTGAAAATAACTAGTAGTCAATGGTCAATACTTACTGTTCGCTCTCATATATCTCTCAATCAATTTTTTTAATTATATAAAAATTCTGGAGGATAAGATGTTTGCTTACCTGCAAAAAGAGAAAATACAAATATTTAATTATGCAAATGTAAAACAAGAAAGTTTAAACAAGAAGTACAATTACTATCCTTTACAGATATTTCTGACGACATGCCCTCGTTTTCTCATCGACTCATTAATGCACGAAAAATAATGAATATTAAGTTTCTCTCCCTTTCCTACCCTTTATAAAAAAATGGTATTAGTTATTTAATGGATTATTACATAATATAGGATGGAAAGTTGTTAGATGAGTCTACTCTTGTAAACTATCCATCAACACCGGTTTCTGACTTGCTGTCATTACGATAGAATTAGATTTGCTGGTCAGGAGCACAGCCTCGTTTAGAGAAATAATCACCCTTATTGTAGCGCGGCGGTACTGGCCGTAAACTAACTAACGCCATCCATTTATTTCTGACTATTCTGAATAAGACTAGTATCAGATCCCAGCGGATTTACAGGCAACTGTTAAGTTGGAAAAAATKAAATGGGAACGAGTCAAAGCTTCACTTATCTTATTGGGTTTTACTACTGAATAGATGCGCATCACAAAATCTTAATGAATTTTAGGAAACCAACCATTGGTACTTGCGCAGTCCGAAATCTTTCTGCTAAATCCCTCAATCTTACAGTGAATGAAACAAGTTTTGGTACAGGCGTTGTCCTAATCGAAAAGTGTGTTGAAATTTTAACCAACTTTTCGGCACAGTTCGTATTATTAGCTTTCATACATACATACATGTATATCACAATAAGCAAAAAAATATTCCGTTATTTCATAAGAAACTCGAAATGAATGTAAAAATGGCTAAACACTCATGAAGAAGGTTGTGCATAAATTGTGAGTAAGTTAAGTTTTTTGGAAATATAGGTTTTTTTTTTATTTTTTTACTCTATTCGGTTCATTATTCATAATTATTTGTTAAATTTTCAATCGTTTTAAGTCAGTGTAAAAATTTTAGTAGTCATAGAGTGATCAAAATGGTCGGTCGTATAGAAATTTCAATAGATGTCCGTAAAATTATAATTAAGTTGGACGTGTAGCAAAATTCGTGAAAATTTAAAGCTCACACCACGTCAGGAACGAGCTGTAAAAGCTGTAGTGATTCAAAATTGAAGATTTCAGCCGTAAAGCTGTATCAAGAGATGCAACAAAGCTTTGAAAAAAAACTTTGACCACCAAACTGGTCCCCCAAGGATTCAATTAAAGAGGCCATACGTACACAGTAGACAAATATAACTCCTGACATCTAACCGAGCAGGAGGGCAGTTATTCAGGCCAAAGGAAGTTTAAAAAAATAATAAAATTTAAAAAATCGGATTCAAAACAATATTTTCCATATGTCCGAATAAACTTTTTTTTTATCTATGAACGATTATTCATATTTTTACTATAATTTCATTATTTTTAAAATATGAAATATCTTTTAAATATGTATATAATAAAAATTTTGAGATTGAAACATATGATTATTATTACTTTCGTAAATTCAAAGGAAAACCTGTAATTCTTATATAATATAAACATTTAAGTTTACGGTGTGCCCAAACTTTTTTGGTTCACTGTATATATCAGCCATATGTTCTAACCTAACCTACCTGATTTTTATAAAGGACGATAATTTTTATGTCAAACATGGATGCATATATATATGTATGTATATATAATTACTCTCTCAAGGAAATAAAGTGGTTATAATCATTCTATGTAGAATTTGTCTGTAATTTTTTTTTTTAATTAAAAAATTTATTATGGAATAAATGCTCTAAAATTGAAAGCGGTCGATAGAAGTTGAAATTAAACAAGAATTAGAACAGCAAAGCGAAAAAAAGTAAATGCTATTACAATCCGCAGAAATGTAATTAGTATGCGAAAAATAAACAAATGCAAACGTATGTAGATATAAACACAGCCATGCAGTTGAATGATACATTTATTAAGAGCGAAGTAGCAAAAAAAACATATGAAATGAAAAATTAAACCTTTAGTATAGTCACAATAGAGTCTTAACTATCTAAAATGTATATTGCTAAACAATCTACACTTCACATACACCGGTAACCGCTAATTGATATCTAAACTTATGTAAACACGAATGAACTTATGGTACAGTAAACAATCTCTATAGGGATTATTCAACATGGATTATTACATAGGACAATTTAAAAAAAATGTTGGTGCTCATTACATTACATGTAGAAAATGGAGGTCGCCCGAGTCGATTTCATAAAATTCCGCACGCTATTAATGGTTAAGGCATTCCCTACCTCATTTCGAAAGAAATAAGGCCCAGTGATATCCCCATACCACAATCCATCAAAATTTGACACATTTCTATTAGTAAACGCTAGGAATGCGTAACTTCATTTGTTCCGTTCTGGTTATTAATCTACAAAAGGAGAGCCATACAGGCCATAAACGTCAACATGTTATAAAATAAAATCATTTGCATAACGAGTAAGGACGAATACAGTCGAGTATCAAGTATTCTTGAGATTTGCATAACTAAAGAAGTATGAAAATTTTAAAAAGTTAATGAAACCTTAATATTAAAATTCATATGAAATAAGTGGATTTGTTTCATCTTTGTGCATGTGTACTGCATTATAATTCAATAATTGCAAAAAATTGTAGTAGTTGAACAAATTACATACATGTTAAAAACATTATTTGGGGAATATTAAGATAATTTGAGGTCCACTGTCAATGGATGACATTCAGTTATTTCTACTGTTATTACAAACAAACAAACTATGGTATGCATCAAACTTCACTGCCATTCGATGAATAAATTTCATGAACAATACCATGCGTATTACATCGGACGCGTCATATAACAATGAATGCTACTGCCAACTACTAACAAAAGAATCTCCAAATACCTTTGCTTTTCTACGTAGTAATCGATACGAGGTACGCAATCCACGATAGGGACATCTGATTGCGGCACAGCTGACCAACACTGAGTTATAAAACAAGGCTTAAAAAACTTGATTTTATTGGGCAGTAGTTGTTTTCTGGTCGATCAAATTTCATGTTTTGGATGAAAGTAAGAAGTATTTGTCTCGCATTGAAGTAGTTAATATAAGTATAACTATATTTCATTTAAAAAATTCCAAATAATAATAAACATGTATCAAATTTGAGATTAGCACTTGCAGCTGGRAGTTTGCTAATATTTCTAGCATTAAACAATTTAAATATTTTACAACCTTAAATTTCAGTGGTAAATAAACTAAATATTTAATTATTCATCAATATATATTAGGTTATCAAATAAGTCTTGCGGTATTTTTTATTGCATTTTCAATTGTTCATAAAAGTTTTTTGATGACTCATGCTCAGCTGTTGTTGTTGTTGTTGTAACGGTGGAATTCTGCCGAGTTCTGCCGAGTTGACAGTCCTTGGCCGACTGTTGTGGGAACGGGTCTTGACCGATGCTACGGCTGCTACTATGCCGGTCTCTTTCGACCAATTCAGCGATTTTATCGCGTTTTCGACGACAGGCCTTCCGGAGCGTGGCGCATCTTCGACCACCTCTACACCAGAAYGAAAACGTTGAAACCATCGTTGTGCGGTGGAAATGGAAACTGTATCGGTTCCATAAACTGCACAAATTTTATTGGCGGCTTGAGATGCATTTTTGCCTTTATCGTAGTAGTACTGTAAAATATGCCGTATTTTCTCTTTATTTTGCTCCATGTTTGGGACGCTATAACTCACGAACGACTTAAAAGAAACGACAATCAATCAAACACGTGTTAGCGCGTGAAATGAGCTTTCCAAAAAGGTATAGCATGACCCGATGCCCCGAGTAAAACTAGAACTACGCGCTCTCAGCTCCAACTAGCGAAAATACCTTTTTTGACAAACAAATTTTTTAAGGCCTTCATAGTAATCCCCACCAGATGCAAACGATTTTTCACTTCGAAACACTCCTTCAGCGAATTTAGTTTTATCTCTTCGATCGACTGCGTCCTTGCAAGTTGTAACTTGAGTAAAAATTGATATCTTGTTGAAACTCGGTTCGTTTACATATACGAAACTTATAGTTCCATAACTAAACACCAAATTAAGATATAAAAATGTTATTTGGGACAGGAGATCGCTAAAGCTGCAACAACAAAACTTGCAGCAGGGTTGCTCCGTAGGATTTTTTGTGCTAAAAGACTCCATCCAAACTCCACCTCAGTCAGTGTTTGAGACACACAGGGAGTGGACCGCAACTTACGTGGCCCCATGTTGCCAACGCACTGCGACCATAGACTCTACGGCTGCAACGTTCACATAATTGGGAAAGTTGGAAATGTGGTCCCACTACTGAAACCTGGGAAACCCGCCAACAAAGATGAGTCCTATCGTCTGATAACTCCCCTCTCCCCAGTATTGAAATCACTTGAGGTCTTGTTGCTCCCGACCTTCTCTAACCACCTGAGCATAGCAAACCACAAACATGGATTCCGAAAAGTGTGCAATACCACCAGATCCCAGATAGTTCGTGACCTTAACCAGAAACCACCCTGTGAGAGAACGATGCTCGTAGCGTTGAACTTGTTTGACACAGTCAGTCACACAACGCTACTGCAGGATATAGAACAAACTATACTCTTGCTTCTTCTCTACATTGAACTTAACACTCCATCACCATCAACACCTTCACCAACTCCCTTCCAGTGAATGAAGTACTCGGAGTCAAACCACCACCCATCGCAGACGAAGAGTTCGAGTTTCGGCGAGAAACATGAGTGACCCGCAGTTTCGTTCTGGATACTATACTTCTACTTATCCAGATTATTCAAATAGGATCGAAATCCGTTGACAACGAACCTATTCCAGCCCGGCCAACAACATCAACGGATGATCAACGCGTCAATAAAATAAAAGAAATTGGTGCTTGAGAATCGTCCTAGGCACCGTCGCATACAAGATTGATTCTTCGCAACCATCGTATTTGCCTAATTTAGCACCGTTTGACTTCTGGCAATTCAACAAACTCAATTTAAGGCATTAAACGCTATGAGCATTGAAGGCTTTTTGTACTTTAACAACTGTTTCGACGATTGGAAAACATGTTGGCATAATTGTATTGAGGCCCAAGGAGGGAGGATAACTTTGAGGAGACATAGATATTGAAAAATATATTTAAAATTTTAAAATTATGAACAAAGCCTATTTATTTTTTGTTCATAGTTACTACTAGGTTTCGTCCGCTCGCAATACTCCTCTACAAAGGAAAACTTAATATTATGTAAATAAACGTATATACGTTTATATAAATTTATTTAAAAGCTACTGCTGACTAATTTTGATCTTCAGAGAATTTAAAAATTRTTTAAACATTTCATTACAGTTTCGATGCTATTCAGATCCGAGCACATTGATTCCAATTAGTTGCAAATGGAATACTAAGTTCAATTTTATAATTCATTTAAATTACTTAAGTTTGTTACGTTTTGAACTGGAAGTCCATGTTATACCGTATACCACGTATGATGAGTTCAGCATCTGCTTATAGAAAGTAATAGAACCTTAAATGAGAGACATACAGACATTGACCTCAAAAACTAGCGATAGGCAGCGAACGGACACTGCCCCTAACAATACCTGAACATATAAACAAAGTCGCATATTCCACTTATCCTCACGAAGACATTATCTAAAAACGATTCGTTTCTTCTATGTTTGACATTTTTGTCCTGAATTGTGACTTGAAAGCTCCTGGAGATTGTAATTAAATGTTTCGGGAAAATTATTTTTAATTACTATGGCAAATATGAGTCAACCACTTTGTTTATAGCAGCAGGTTAAATCGGTATACCTTAGCAATGAGTTGCGACAATAGATAACAAGTAAGGAAGGGCTAAGTTCGGGTGTCACCGAACATTTTATACTCTCGCATGATAAAGTGATAATCRAGATTTCAGGCGTGGTTGTGAACCGATTTCACCCATATTTGGTACATGTCATCACGGTGTTAAGAAAATATTATATACCGAATTTCATTGAAATCGGTTGAGTACTTCCTGAGATATGGTTTTTGGTCCATAAGTGGGCGACGCCACGCCCATTTTCAATTTAAAAAACAAAAAACCTGGATGCAGCTTCCTTCTGACATTTCTTCTGTAAAATTTAGTGTTTCTGACGTTTTATGTTAGTCGGTTAACGCACTTTTAGTGATTTTCAACATAATCTTTGTATGGGAGGTGGGCGTGGTTATTGTCCGACTTCTTCCATTTTTGAACTGTATATGGAATTGCCTAAAAGAGACGACTCTATACAATTTGGTTGACATAGCTATAGTAGTTTTCGAGATATGTACAAAAAAGTTAGTAGGGGCCGGGGCCACGCCCACTTTTCCAAAAAAATTACGTCCAAATATGCCCCTCCCTAGTGCGATCCTTTGTGCCAAATTTCATTTTAATATCTTTATTTACGGCTTAGTTATGACATTTTATAGGTTTTCGGTTTCCGCCATTTTGTGGGCGTGGCAGTGGGCCGATTTTGCCCATCTTCAACCTTAACCTTCTTATGGAGCCAAGAAATATGTGTACCAAGTTTCATCATGATATCTCAATTTTTACTCAAGTTACAGCATGCACGGACGGACGGACAGACGGACATCCAGATTTCCACTCAATTCGTCACCCTGATCACTTTGGTATATATAACCGTATATCTGACTCTTTTAGTTTTAGGACTTACAAACAACCGTTATGTGAACAAAACTATAATACTCTCTTTAGCAACTTTGTTGCGACAGTATAAAAACGCAATGAGTTCCATCGGTCAACCACCTTATTCACCAGATTTGGCTGCGTGTGCTTTTTTCTTGTTCACCAAACTGAAATGTCCACGACCTATATTTTTTGTAAAAGAATTAGAAGTAAGTTTATAAAGAAAATAGCGTTGAAATACACCATAAAAAGTTGATGCCTGAAGAAATTAATACTTTTAAATCAGAAAGCAACAAGTCAATCTATATTTATAGCAGAGAAAAAGGTCAGGTTAATAATTTCTCTAATATGATTCCTATTGCAAAGCTATTAATTAAAATAAATATGGACTCCTTTGCATGCGGTAAAATTCGTTTTATAGTAATTTGTTATGAAATTAATTGTTGACTCTTTATAATAAGTTGATAAGTTAACAATAAATTTACAATATGAAGAAAATAAATGTAATGTTACGGTGATAGCCAAGGATAGAGGGACTGAGCTTTAAATGAAGATTGTTAGAAATGATAGAGGATTGAAAGGATTACCTTGTGGCAGGTTTAAACTTACATTTTACATGTAAAACACAGCCTTGTTCGGAAAATGTTGTAAAAAACAGGATACTCTTATTTTATATATTTTTCTTTACCTAATGATCTTTTGARTAATAATTTTATGTGACAAATACAAAATAATCAATGGCAAATTTTCTCAAGTAAGCATTAATTTGGAAGGCAAAAAGTACTAGTCAGCAAACTACAAAGCCACTAAATTATCAATAAGACCAAATGAGTAYACTATTATTCTGACTTGAGTGATAGAGATTTGTTTAGATGAAACAGACAGTGCTAAATAAATTGCCTATGTATTTTTTTATATTTCAGTAATGCTCAATTTTGAATTAATGTTGAGGTCTTAAGAGATAAGTTTACGTTGTATGCGAAACATATTTGTGTTCCTGAGAAAGTTATATAAACACACTATTAAAAAACCATTCCGATTATCTACGAAATGTTGATAAGCTTATCTTGTGTTCGTTCGATTAGTTATATTTTGAATACAATATGAATGTGAAAATTTGTGCATACAAAGCTTTTCACCTGAAAATCTTACTATGCTACTACCTATGTATGTAAGCAAGCTATTCTAAAAGTATAACTTGTACTTAAAAACACAAAGATGCGCTGACTTTGGGGTACACTTTACTTCAATACATATTTATTGCGTTTTGTTTGTTGATGTTATTAACACGTTCTGATATTTCTTAATTACTGTCCAATTTTTTATTTAATTTACATGCGTAGCAGTATTTCAGCACATGCCGACTATAAAAACAGCATTTAAAGTGCTGCATAAACCTAAAAAGGTTATGGAATAATTCGACTAGAAACATATCACATTCACCAACAATTTCATGAACAGCTTAAAGAAAAAAGAGTTATACTAAATCTTGTTCCTTCATAGTAACCGGAGCGGTTGCGTATTTTTAACCTGCCAATTACTGCCAACTCGGCCTCATGCCTCGAAATTACTTCAGGAATGTTTTATTCCACTACAACTACAAAATAGTCGAATTATTTACTATTTTGTTGTCCGGGTCCGTTCCGGTTACTTAGACCCGACTGTCGTGCGAATAATTATATACAATTGTGTTCATAGCAGAGATCATTAAGCAAAAGAATATGTATAATATTTAATTTTTGTAACTAAGGCAAATAAACTTTTCTATTATTATCAAAAATTTGAGAAATCTAGTTCACTTTAAACATTTATAGGCCCTGCCAATTTAGTGAGTGTTGTTTTCTTACTGATCTTGAAAACCAACATAGATATGTAAAAAATTGGATATCTGAATGAAAATTTCAGGTATTTAATGCCACTTACAGCAAAAAGGGCTCAAGAAAATAAAATATACAATAGCGCTCAGAAACGACAAAACAAAAATGCTTGTTATACTTATTATACATATCTCGAGAAATGATTACGCTCATTGTAAAACAACTGTAACTTCTGGGTTTATTTAGTCAAGCATGCTCTGCTCAATTCAAATTATGAAAAAGGATCTATTAATAATAAGGTGCATGGAAGAAACAACTTTGTTGCAATAAGTTTACTGATTATATATTAAATATCATAAATTATAGGTTCTTGTACCGGCAGAAATTATTCCTGAAAAAATTTCGATTGGTGCCGAGTTGACAGTCCTTGGCCAAGTCCGTTCCCGTTACTTATACCCGAATGTCGCACGACCGGAATTAAAAATTTGTAATATCGCATGCTTGCCAAAGCTCAATGAAATTTTATACAATATAATTTAGACTACTATGTATATTTATAAACTTACCGTGATTTTGGAATTTTTTTCATATCCATTTCATTGGGTTAGCAAACTTTTTACTAAATCTCGCATACCCAACTAAGACATGGTTGTTTAAATTTTCCCAAAAACAGCTATTATTTTTTCTGCTGAATGCTGCTGTTACAGGCGTCACCGACTGAGTTAATGTTAATWAAATTATTTTCAAAGGATTTTTCACTTTCCCGAAAGGACCAAGTTAATAGTTTTTATTTTAATTTTCATAGGTATCGCAATAACTTGTTTAAAGGGTTTTTGAAAACGCAATGAAAAGGATTTTTTCATTAAAAGAACTACTGTCAAGAAAGTAAAGGTCGTATATGAAGGTCGTGGTGAAATGTATTTTCCAACCTACATAGGATTTATATTTTAATATATGGAATTAAAATATCAGTTTTTCCCTCAATGTTCTAGCAAAAAGATGCAGAACTGTTAAAAAATTGGGAGAATATTAAAACGTTTTTCGGCATATTCGACGTAGTTCAACAGTTATGAATACCGAAAACATATAAAGTATGATATATATACTGATATTTTGATATTAGAACATTTTTTTTATATTTCAAATTTAAGTTTATTAACCATGTATTTTGGGTGCCTATGAATTCCTATACAATGTGTTTTAATAGCATTGTTTTTTGCTTATGTGTTGTTTAAAATTATCTGCTTATACATCTGCTAGTCAGTTTTTTGTTTTTTTATACGATGCGTTCGTGCACCTTCGGTATTGTCGGTAGCTTCTACAATTACGATGAGTATTATAATACTCTCGGCGCGCAAACGGTAATATCGTGAATTGTATTATTTATTTCATCAATATGTGTTGATGAAATAGTTGTTGCTATTAAAAATATATAAGAATCAGAACCGGTGTATAAAATATTAGGTTTAAAGATTCTGAGACCAATATTTAATTTTCATTAGCGTTTCACTTAGCTGATTTTTGTTACTATTTGATTTACGGAATTAAACATTTAGTTGTGTATCATTAGATAGATTTTCCTTGGCTTTATTGCGCAGTTTACTCATATTTCGTCACCTTGCCTGGCTTTATTAAACCGTGTTCTAACATTCCTACTCCTAAATAATCTTCATTCCATTGCAACACACGAAATTTTTAACTTTACACATATGCTATTTGCTTTTGATTAACTTTAATTTTTATGTCAATACTTCTGGCACTATTATTAAGATTACATTAAGCCTTATAATTCTTTATACCTGTAAAGGGTTTTACACTTCAAAACTTTCTTTTTTTAAGTGACCATTTAAAACTGTTTCGACAAAATGTTATACACAAATATACTTTAAAGACGAATTATTAAGATACTTAGTAAAACAACACTTAATTCGCAACCTTTTATAAACAATAAATCGATTTAAAAAGTGGAATAGAAAAATTTGCCCACTCTTTGCAGATTGATGGCTTTTATTTTGCAATAATTTTTTCTCTACTTCTTCAATGTCTTCTTTACACACATTCAAACAAATTTTCTTCGACTTCATCGTTGCATCGTTTCATTTAATTTAATTTTTTTTCTCACCGTTTTTCCTTCATTCTTACAATACTCTTAACACATTTTATATTTCAAATGAGCATGTATTTGTAATATTTTCACTTTATCACTAGACATTTGCCAACAATTTTCTTCTTATTAATAGATTTTCATTGAACACAATTTTTTCACACTTTCACCCACGTTTCTCTCCATTACGGTTTACACATATTTTTTGGATAACTATTTAACAATTTTCGTCAACATATCATTTGAAATTCGGCAGACAAAAGATTAGCAACTACTTCACACGGCTCAAGTATATTGGGAATTTCTTCTATGTCTTGATTTATCTTTATCTCTTCTCATGCTTTGTTTCGCTTCCTATCCTTTTGTCACTTATTATCTTACACTTTTAAAGGGATACTATATCTATCTCTTTTACTTTTATATTTTGTTATTTTCCTATGTAAAACTTTCAATTCAACAGAGCTCGAGATTCTACAAAATTGTATGCATGGACATGTATAATAATTCCTGTATAGGAATTTAATAAATCACATTCTTTGTTTATTAAAACTATCCGTACTTCTTACTTCGTTTCTATTTCACAATTCAAAAAATTCAACACTGTCAAAAAAATTATTTTGGGGTCACATTACACAAATATTTTTTTACATCTATATGGTAAAATACTTCAAATGATCTAGCATAATTTACATTAATTAATTCTGACGGCAAACAATTTATAGGGATTTTGTAATATCATCTCATAGCATTATTGCGTTAAATTTAAGATATGTATTTCCATCGATTTTTAAAGTRCTCTCATATGACATGACATTTATAAGTTTTTTTTTTGACAGAAAATGTCAACGCAGTTGAATACGCTTTCAAAGCACACAAGTAAATAAAGGTAGAAATGTCAAAAGCGTTGACATCTGAAAATCTAATATAATCGTCTTTAGGAAATGTAAGGATTTTACGACCTCGAACCAACCTCAATTTTTCGTTATTCGAACGAAAGAAATAACCATATTTTTAGCAATAGCTCCTATTTTCTCGCACACACTCTGAATTGGTGAGCCATTCTTACATTTGACATAATTTGCGAGTGAAATTTTGCAGAAGAAAATATGCAAGTAAAAAATACAAAATAGTTAAGAAAGCTATATAGAATGAATAAACGCCGATGAAATGTATATAAAATGTAATGAACATGGGAAAATTTTCATGTACGGCGTAATGAACTTACATTGGCATTTGGCCTGATAACTCCACTTGCCTTTCTTTAAATCCACATCAATTCCAATCGTTTTGAAAATATATTATTCGAATAAAACTTTGAGAAAATTAGTCACACACCCACAGTTAACACAATCTCTGAACACCCAATCGAATTAGATTGTCAGAAAATAGTGCTGGTATATTTATCGGCAGCTACAATTGCAAATTTGTTGTTTCTTTTCGCATCACGATACATAGACTGGTTACCCATTGAAATTCATTAACTTTTGATATAATCTACACTTTTTAGATTTGAATAGTAAGGTTTTTTGATGTTTGTTTTTGAAAGTAATACTTTAATCAATTAGCAATAACAATATTCGTTGGCGGATGTTAAGTATGTACCTACGACTGGCCAATACTTTGTCACAATGGTGTTGCTTTTCTTTACAGTCCTCAGCAACACGCAATGGCAGACGACATATTCATATTTAGATTTTAAACAACGCACATGTCAATTTTTAGGTGTTTATATGTTGTTTTGATAACTGCATATTATGACAGCGTATCGTTTTTAATTAGAAAATATCTCCGTTTTAATTTCAACAGAAAATTAATGTCAAATTTGGAAAATGAAAAGCAAAGTTCGCCATTTTCTATTTTTTGTAAATCGCTTTTGAAGTGGTTTTCGTTCATTCGTTGCTTGATACATTACTGTCAAAGAAATTCGTTAGTTTACTGACTCGTTGAAAGCAATGAATGAGGGTATTCAATTACCAATTRTTTTAAAAATTCACGATTCATATAAGCATTTTGTCGACAGACCAAAAACAGGAAACTCACGTGTTTTTATTCATATTGTGATTCTGTAACAGCTGTCTTGCTTTTATGCTGTTTTTATAACACAAAAAAATATTTCTACCAAACATTCCCGCCAAAAATGAGTTTTTTGAGTAATAACTGCGTACGAAGAGATTGTTAAGTCCTAAATTTTTTCAAAATGTAAACAAGGAATTCATGAAAAACAAAGTTTATTTTACATTATGAATTAAACAAATCCGTAAGAGAAAGCACACTCCGAAGTAACAACCTGATATAATTGAATAATGGCTTTACCTGAAAACAGTTTTTGGTTTTGTAAATAAGGGTTCTATCTTTTAACACCATCTTGCCAAATCATTGCATACTATCGGAAATTAATCATATCATCTGTAATATATTGGAGGAAGTAAATATTTGGATACTGTGGGAAATTATTGAACACTCTACAGCGAACAGTCACACCTTTTTAATCCCTTCAAAGTTTTAATATATATGCACATTCTATAAATCTCTCCAATATATTTGTTTGTTCGTATATATTTTTATACGATGCATTTTACTTTTCATTGAAAATGCATTTATACATATCAAAATGCATTACAATGTTGTCGAAACTATTTTACTTCATAAGAAATACTTAGTAAAACTATATGAGCTTGCATTGGATAATAAAGTTTTTACTGGCAACTCGCAAAAATCGGAATTATTAATGAGCTACCATCAAAATATTAAACACTTRATTAGTACGAAACAAGTTTGTTAAGAGAATAAAATCAAGAAAAGGCATTTAAGATACTTTCGGGCAAAGTAAAGAAAGGTTTCGCAGTTGATTAGTGCGTGAGTAAGCGTACATCCTTTCAATTATTTTTCAAAGATTTAGAGACTATGGTCCAATTTTCAATAAACTCCGTTGTAAACTTAATATTCTTATACATATATAGATTTAAGTTCTCTACAGCTGCTCTGTTTATCTTTAGTAACTTAATTTTTAATATCCAATCCATAATTGGAGCTACAATTTCTGAATCCAGTGTAGAGGAAACCAAGGGTATTTAGCTTGTGATAATATGCTAAAGACAAATAATTTTTGTCTAGTTTCCGTAAGATGTTAATTTCTAAGGAATCATTTGGCTTTTGTGATGAAGAAGGTATTGTCCGTATTTTTTACATTATTTCTTTGGTTAGATATACAGTTATATCATCCAAAATGTACAAGAATCAGAAACACATTATATTTGGAAAAAAACAAAAAAAAAAAAGGGCATAAATGAAAGTTAATTATTTAACATGAAATTTTACCGAAAACAGAAAGCACAAATAAGTTCGAGAATAAAAATAAAGACGAGATTTTTTTAATGTGTTATTATTTTGTGTACTAAGCGTATACTACGTAATCAGGGTTAGAATATAATGTATGTTCGCAGTTAATAAATTATAACCTTTGATATAAAAAAAAYAAATTTCTATAATTAACATGTTGTCTTTTGTTGAATACGATTACGCACATCATATATAATATATCAGAGGCTCGGTCAAATAGTTGTCAAACATTTACTTTAAGACCAAGTGTTAGGGGAAAAAAGCCCTAGAGTAGCAAATCCATTATATTCGAATATTAATTCCCACCTATCTTCATCATATAATTATTTTACCCAATACATATTTTATTTATAGAATTGTTTGTCCTCTTTATTTATTTATGTATATAAAAACAAATATATAAATGATTTGCAAATTGCGCCATGCGAGATTAATTTGGATATTTTTTAATTTTTGTATGCGCACATTTACACATTCGTTACTACATTTCCGACCTCACTGTCATCTCCACAAAATATTTGCGATTTTTATTATTTTCCTCTTCTTAAACCTTATCATAAATCGAATATATATACATATATTATATATATATWTTAAACACGTGTATTTATTCAACACAGATTGCGTACTCCACTTTTTAGTATCATTATCTTGAAACATCTGAATGCACTTTTATCAGTCGTTAGTCAGTATTTATTTCAATTTAGTTTATATGTATGGTCTATTACTGACTGCTCTTGCTGCTGTGATGGGTCTGACACCAAATTTTACCTATTTCTGTTCTATATGTGGCTCATAAAATATATACTGATCTTTTAAATYTAGTGTTTTGGAGATATTGCTGCTGACCTTTGTTGCCGTCATTGATAATTGCTTTCGAAATAACCTAACTTCGAAAATGCGTAGATGCATAACATTATATTAATTTCCTAATAATTATTATGTTATAAATGTGCATATTGGAAATTTTCATTTACAACGGATTACATGTAAAAGGAAAGAATGCTTTGAACCGATGCATTTTAGTGTTTCCTTTGTTGTTGTAGTTTTATAGGTATATGTACGTGTCATATTATTTGAATGCACATATTAGATATTCATTTAAAATGTTGCTGTATTAACTAAATGTTAAAATCTGGATCTTACAAATACGGCACTCGAATCGTGTTCACTATAGCCAAGACGTTTTGTATGCTTAAAAACTTCATTTGTAATTGCAGTGACAGGCATCGATTGGTCCAAATTCTCYGCCATACTGAGCACAAGGCGTAAATCTTTTTGCATGTGACTCAGTGGTTGCTGTGGGTTGAAGTCTCCTTTGGCCATTTCTATGAAGATATGGAATAGTTTTATTAAATTTACTTTACAGCGTTTTATATATAAATCAATGACATGCCTTTTCCTTTGGCTAACAATAATTGCGATTTCATTGATGTTAATTCAAATATGTCAATAATGTCCTTTAATGAAATTGAGAAACGGTCGGCTGCAATTAAACAAAACATGACAATTATATATTGATTCTAGCATGTACTACATATGTGCATTTATTACTCACCCAATGCTAAAGCCTCTGCTAATCCAACCAAACTGACTCCTACTATCGTTTGCAGTATCAAATTTACTTTGCAAGCATTCCCAACTTCTGCTAAATTGGGGTAAGGCGTTTTCAAAAAAATACAAATAAAAATAACATTGCACATTAAAATAAAACCAAGTGCGAAAAATTAAACTAATTATTTTAATTAATAATATAATAGTAATGACTATTGTGACATGAAATAATACTTTTATATGTAATGGTAGCTGAGAAAATTAAGTAACCATGTTGCTGTCAGCAGAGGGTTTCGGCAAAGGAGACAACATACCACTATCAATTCTTTCTAGGAACGGAATTACAAAGAGGATTAACTTCACAAAGAATTTTAGAATTACTCTCGGCAGCAAGACAGAGTGTAAAGGCTCCACGCTTGATATTCTGCTGAGATGGGACCTAAAGTTTTTGCTATAAATCCGTGCGTAGAACTCAATCTCCATCGCAACCAGGCTATCGCCAGTCTTATCGAAAGCCAAGCGGGACTGAAGGCGGCCAAGCGCTTTTAGTAGAGGAGTGCTTAGTAAGGCCTATTAGTGTGCAACCGAATACACCTAGATAGCCAATGAACGTCGCGCTCTACATAAGACACTGCAGGCTCAGGAAGCACTTGTCCAACATGGGCATAGTCTMTTGCGCAAACTGTCGGTTCTGCGACAGGTTACCGGAGACCTCAGTACACCTGATTCTGGATTGTCCAGAAAGTAGCAGGCTTAAGGACCTAGGTTCCAACTACGTGGACAGAGACCACATCAACTCAGTAGCGATAAGTAGGCTAGTGAAGTTATTCTGGATGATGGACCTTGGTAACCATATGTGATAT